GGGGGAGGGGGGCTGCTCACCACCCCACCTTACTAGGGGGTCCGGGGCATGCTCTTAACAATTTTGAAATCTAAATCTCTGAAACGCTATTTCCTGCATTTTGAGGGGCAAATCTTGTTTTCAGTTTGAATTTTGTGGGGCCGACGCCCCCAACTTTTTCGTCGAGAGAGCGACCGTTCCCTCTGCCCCGGGGCCGCCGCGGCCACTGAACTGGCAGTTGAAATCAAAATTTTACTGAGTATAGGGCAGAAATGTGTTATATTCCATAACTCCATATTGGGTTCTGCAAAGGATTGTGGGACAAGAAATTGGACTGTAGCGTTTATGGGAAACTTGCATCTTTTTCATAGAGCCCTATGTTAATCCCTATATTACTACACATATATGCAGCAATGTATTATGGGAAATAATATTCTATTGTATATAATGGGAGAATTGTTATCGCCCTAGAAACTCGCTAAATTATAAGTCAAGTTTTTAAATGTTTTCGGAATACGAAGATTTATATCAATAATAGTACTGTATATGAATTCCACAACACAAGTCACCGAAAACAATTTTAAGATATGAATAGGCAATTTCGCCATAGGAACTAATAAAAAGTAATAATTATGACCATTTATCATGACATTTCATGACCTTGTCATTTCATTTTTTATTTTCGGTGTCCTGGTGGTATGAACCCATTAAAGGAAAAGTATGACAAACATGACCTATAATATTCAATTAAACTGTCACAGTTAGTCATGCATATTTATTAATGGTCTTGGTGTTGGTAGAAATAAATAAATATGAACGATTATTATTAAGCTTGCATTTCTTATTGTGGAAATTCCAACTATTACACCCTCAGAAGTTCGATAGTCACGTGATCATCACATCGATATGTCGTGAATTCACTTCTACTAGTACATTAAAAACTTGCAAGCAAACATCTTGAGGAAAGCACGCAAAACTATCATTGACATTGTATGTTATAACAACTACAATCTAGCACATTAGTATCACTTATTTTCAAATAAATTAGAGGGATTTACATACCAAGCCAACAATCGTCAATATCATCTACTTCCGGAGAATCATAATCATTTTTAACATCCTCTAATATCTGTGCGCCGACATAGAGATTTTCTGAGTAGCCCTCTACGGCAGTTAAATGGCCACCATGTCTGCAATTTGAATAAAAAATAAATGAACTCGTAGGATTAAATTTACCGCCAGTGATGCAAACCTCCTAGGGAGAAGTAATTACATACATTTACATCTTTGTACATTACCTGTAGCAGAAAATACCCAAGTCTGCCAAACATTTATCGTGAAACAAAAACATTTAATTATGCATTTTTAAAGTTAGTATCACTTTTAACCGTCTCTTAATTGACCCAATAGACCGTGGTCACCACGCACCACACGTTTGTAATACGTCGCTATGAGTCCTATATCGAACATGACGCGGCGCGACGACCACCGCCCTTTAACAGAACGAATGTAACACTATAATACAACGCTATCGATGGGTTCTTTTTTCTGTAACCAAATAAGTATACATTGTCAACAACACTCTATTAGTATTCGAAGACTCCATCTGACTCGAACTATCCCCAATATCACTGTACTTATTCAAAATGGAAAAATATGATATGAGAAATTCATTATATATAACTTTTACTGAAACAGACTGTACACGATACAATTACTGACCAAAATGCTTTGAAATGTTGGCTATAAAATGGCCATTCATACAGATATATAGTGTTTTAACTTGACACGCTCAGGCAAATCTTCTTATGTATGTTCCAAATTTGAAAAAAAAAATCCATCCACGAATGCCTGAATTATTCAGTGCCAAAATGGCGGACATACTTGATCATGGCATTTATTTACGAGCCAGCCATTTCCAAAACTTGAAACGAATGAAATAACTATATGCGTGACATGATGTAAAATGTATTCTATGACTCTGGAATTTTGAATATTATATATTTGGATAAAATCCAACCCAACACGACTTAGAAAATGGGAAAAATGCGAAAAAGTGACACGATGTAATACACATGTGTGAAGTTTGGGCGTGATTGGTCCAGGCATGCCGGGAATACAGGTGCTGACGGACGGACGGATGGACAGACGGGCTGACTCACTGTCCCCCTTTTCGAACTTCGTCCAAACAAGAACCAAATTACCAGGGTAACAAAGATTTCGGCGATGAATAAATAGTTACTACTTGCTATTGATCAGAAGGTTTTTAGCAAAAACATAGAAAACAATCAACTACAGCGACCGACATTTTACCCATGTATTGAGATCTATGGTATTAAACAGGCAAAAGATAAAACACAATTAAATGATATAAAGGATTCCAATATTATCGAACATCCTCTAAGGGGCGGCAGTGTTTAAAAGTCATTTTAGCAAGTTGCATACATTTGGGCGTTGGCTTGATAGTCTTTGTATTTAGTATTGAATCAGCCTTCATAGGGGTTAACTTTACGATAATGTGACTATTGAGCGTATACAAAACAAATGATTCACTTGAGTTCACATCCTCTCGGGCTACGAGTTCCTACTATTGCCAGGAATGCCGGACAAGAATTACATTACAAATACTAATGGCTGGGCTTTCGAAAAAAAAATAGATGAGACAAAAGCCGAGCCTTATATCGTATACCACCAAGAAGGCCATGGTGTTTTTGTTTTCCCTATAAATAGGTGAATGTAGAAGGGAGTTATTTATTTTGTTATTTTGAGTCCATCCTGCTCACTCAATTTCATATTATCTTTTCTTGGTCAAATGTTGTCATATGCTTAGCTTTGACAAAAGCCACTGTATTCATTAAACTAACCGTCGAATTATAATAGTATGTGATAATGTTTTAATGCATTATTGTTATCATTATAATTTACTATCAATATTTGTGAGAGATCGCTCATAGTAATCAAGTCACTGACACAAGACAAGACAAGACACTGAAATGCTGTGCCACCGATTGGTGCCACCCTCGCATAGAGACACGGACGCTAAGCATTTCTTTGTTATACTAGTAACTATCAATGGGGAATTTGATACATTCTGCAAATGAAAGCTTTATATGTTCGGTTTTACTCTTCCATTGCATCGACACATGAAAACAATCACGTCTGTTCGCAGGTTCACATTTTTTCTCATTCTAGTCGCGGTAATGGAATTCATTCGATCACATGAAATAAAACAGTTATTTGAGGTATACCGTCACTTGGTACACTGGACACAATGGAGGGGTGTTTCTTAGTGGATGGCAGTTTATTGCTATTTAACATTCCCGGGGCTGGGTGTGTGAACAGAGAATGATTTGAAAGAAAAATCTACAGGGAAAATTATTTATCAATCCACACACAGTGTAGTAGACTGGCTACAGTCGGGGAGATTATATTTGTTCGCGAATTACCCCACTTACCGCGAAATCTCATAAGAAATATTACCGCGAAATATCCCACTCACCGCTAAATTTCTACTCACCGCGACATTTCGCGGCAAGTGAGGAACATATTTTTTTTAATTAAAAATTACACCTATCGTCCGACTGTGACCAGTCTAGCAGTGTGGAAAAACAAACCCAAACTCAAGACCGATTGAAAGACACTACAGTACAGTACTATGTGTTTTTATCCGGAGGATTTAATAGCCAATCCCTAATATAGTTGTACCTTATTGAAGGCGAACTTCACTTTTTGCTAGAATGATAATTTTTTTACAACTTGAGAGCCAGACTCATTGTTGAATATTGCTTCAAATCTCTTGTTATGTATAATTTGTGTTTGTATTCCTCAAATATAACTGCCACACTAAAATCTGAAATAATCGAGAATTTTTTTATTTTGTTTATCAACTATTATGTTTCATATATTTTAATAATGAAATATACATGACTTACCCTTGACACGTATTCTCTGCGTTAACCCACGATTGTCTACTCGTTACAGACTTATAGCACGACGAGCCTCTGAGCGTATAACCTACAAAGGTGAAAACAACCACATGACTTCATACAACCAATCAACGGTAAATCACACATCAGCAGTGTTGATTTTATTTACTACGTCAAAGGAAACGCTCCTAATATTTATATCATTTCAGAAAACCACCAACATATGACATTTTGAGAACAGGGCTCTGGCACATCTACACTTACCATCCGGGCATTCATATTGCACAATAGGTGATGTAAACAGCGCCCCCAAATCCAGTTGCTGAAATTAAAGAGAAACAAAAATAAGTACTAGTACATGTAAATGTTTGTAGTGTTGTTGCTCCCACTGTTGTTGTTGTTGTTGTTGTTGTTGACACTGTTGCTACGTATCTTGTTGTTGTTCCTTCTCATTGTATCGTAAAACAATGTTTTACACGTTATTTTTTAATACAGTGATTGGCAGAAAAAAAAAACGCTTGAAAAAAACACACAATTCACATATGTCATTTAGGAGTATATACTATATATTAGTTGCACGGGCAAAAATTTACTCCTTTAAATCGACTCGGAGTCTTTCATATACCGCCCGCTATTGTTGGGATGTGGTTTATATCACTATCAATTTGTTGTATTCAGTACAACAATTAATGTTTTTTTCTTTCCAAATTACAGTTTCAAACAAACGTTTTCATAATGGTTGTTTCTTCATAATTTTTTTTTTAAACTGTTTGTTTTCGAAAACATATTATATTGCATATTCGTGTTTTAGGCGTCTGACCACCAGCTGCCGAATTATCGCACATATTCCCGCCTTGGGAAAATGCATCTTAACTACTTTCTACAAAAAAAGATACCGATCGTTTAAAAAAAGAAAAAAAAACATGGTGTTATTATTTCAATAAAGTATGTGATGACAATTGAAAGGGAAAAGCGAAGAACGAGGTCCTCGTGATAGATATTGCCTTCAAATGAAACCGATGAATAATACACGGTAATGAATACTAGTACAATTATGTGTTAAAGCGGAGGGGTCTTCACCTACGCATGCGCGGAAATTAAATCCCAAGCGACGATTACAGGTCTCATACTACCATTTAGTCTATCAGCGTTCAAATCTTATGGTTGCTGTTATGAATGGTTACCGCGTTCTGTCTGAAACACGATGTATGAGGGCGTACTTCAATTATGTCAGCTGTTAGACTGTGTGTAGCCACAGTCCCTCTATCTCTATCATCTATCTGATAGAGGGACTGTGGTGTAGCTTTGTTTATTGACAAGTACCGGTGACCTATGGGTCTGGACAACTCCAGGCTTGATTAGACACTTCCTAACTGG